AAGAAGACGGGGACGGCGGAGGGCGAGGGGAGAGAGAAAGGGGAAAGGCGGCATGCCGGGAGGAGTGGGGAAGGAGAAAGGGAACAGGACGAATAGGAGGCCGCATGCGAACCCTACCCCACCACCTCACGATTTCTAAGGGGGGAGGTGGAGTTCACAGCGCTCGGGAGGTCCCCAACGAAGTGAACCCCACCTCCCCCCTTAGAAACCGTGGGGTGCTGTGGTCAGGGTTCGCGCGTGGCCTTCTGACGAAAGCCACGCACCTGCGGGGGCCCTCCTGGCGGGCTTCGAGGCCTGAGCTTCACACAGTCGCCTGGGGAGCCGACACCTACAACCCCAGGGGGGCGCCTTGGGCATGGACCCTCCCGGGGCCCAAAAGGCATCCGTACAATGCAGCCCTCACAAGGTCATGCTGCATCCTCGGAGGACACTGTCTGTCCCGTCGCGCCGCTCATCCGCGTCGAATCCGTGCCGAACGCGTCGAATCCGCGTGGAGTCCACGTCGAATCCGCGTGGCCTCCACGCCGATGCCACGCCGAACACGCGCCGACAACGCATGGAACAAACTGGTCTGAAGAGACATAGGTTTACGGGACAGACGAGGCCTCCCGAAGATGCAGCGTAAGACATCATGAGCTCTCGTATAAAAAAAAACATGGCGACGCCGAAAGGTGTGGTTGGCCAAAGCTGTGGTTTGCAAACGGCACCCTGGGGGGCGGGCGGTGACCTCGATGGAGTTCTCCGCCGCGCCCCGAGGAGGCCCGACGAGGCCAGTGTCGTGCCCTCCAGGCCCCAACGGCGCCGATCGCAAACCGCACCCCGGCGCAACCACACTCCCTGCAGCCGCCGAACACTGGCAACCCCCGGGCGGCGGGCGAGTGCAAAAATAAACCGGCCCCGGCAAGAGGGCGGGGGCGCGACCGCGCCCGCGGCGAGCGTGTGCCTCGCCCAGCGCTCCTGGCGAAAGGGACCTCTCTGACGGCGCGCTACTCCAAATCCCTTATTGATCGTCCCCCTGGTCCGGTTTTTGAAGGCGCCTTTCTTGTAACTGGGGGTGTCCAATTCATTAGGGCGCTTCCTCTGGATTGAAGCTCAGGGGGTCCGGAATGTTAGGTCGCATTTGGAGGGGGGTCTGGTTCCCTACCTAGGCTCTGCCTAGAAGGGTTCTTACTCTCTATGTTAAAGGGGCCGGGCAGTGTTCCTCGCCCCGGGCGGTTCCCCCAGGATCCACCCCGCGGTTCCCCCAGTTACGTCCCCTTAGCTTAGCGTTGCTTATTTCATCTTAGCTTAGCTTATTTCATCTTAGCTTAGCTTAGCTTCATCTTAGCTCAGGTTTATCTTAGCTTAGCTTACCTTCATCTTAGCTTCGCTGAGCTTTAGCATAGCAGAGCACAGCATAGCGTAGCGCAGCACAGCATATCATAGCATAGCCCAACATAGCATAGCATAGCGCAGCACAGCACAGCACAGCATAGCACAGCGCAGCATAGCATAGCATAGCAGAACAGAGCATAGCAGCAAAGCAAAGGCAAAGCAACAGCAGCGACAGCAAAGCAAAGCACAAGCAACGCAAAGCAAAGCAAAGCAAAAGCAAAAGCAAAGCAAAGGAAAGGCAAAGCAAAAGCAATGTGCGACAGGTGCCGAGCTAGCCTCGATGGCCGGACCGGAGCCCCCGCAGCTCGCGGGTCGCGCCTCGCAGCTCGCAGCTCGCAGCCTCCAAAACCGCCCCAGGACGAACCGAATAATCTAGCTTTTCGCCCCAAGACGCTCCCAGGAGGCCCCAAGAGCTCCCCAAGAAGCCCCAAGAGGCTCCCAAGAGGCGTCCCAAGAGACCACCAGATTACCAAAATCATTGATTCCCTATAGGAAACATGCATTTTCGCCATACACGGCTTTTCGGTTTTCACAGCGTTGACGACGGTCCAAGACGCCCCCAATACCGCCTCAAGACGGCCCACGAGGCTCCCAAGAGGCCCCCAAAAACGTCCCAAAAACGTCCCAAGACGGCCCAAGAGGCGCCCAAGATGGCCAAGTCGTGCGGTAGTAGACCGGATACGGAGCATTCTCAAGCACACCCGGTGAGCGAATGCGAAAACATGCGCGTGTGTGTGTGTCTGTGCGCAGGCAAAACAAAAACAAAATCAAGCAAAAACAAAAACACATTCAAAGCAAAAGCAACAGCAAAAGCAACAGCAAAAGCAAAGGCAAGGCAACGCAAAGCAACAACCAAACCAATGCTAAAGTGTAGATGTAGATGTAGATGTAGGTGTAGGTGTATATGTAGATGTAGGTGTAGATGTAGGTGTAGGTGTAGATGTGAGTCTCGCTGCTGATGTTGATGTAGATGTAGATGCAGATGCAGATGTTAATGTAACTGTCGGTGTAGATGTAGATGTTTAAGGGATTTGGAGTAGAGACAAAGGGGTCGGGGGAGGGGGCAGGGCTTCCTAGGAGGCTGCCTCTTAGCATGCGCTGGCCCTACATATCTACAGACAAGGCCCGCGCCTCCTAAGAGGCACAATGCTTCTGAGAAGCTTCCCCCATCCCTCTACAGTGGAAACCAGTGCACAAGAAACCTTCCACAAGAACCCCAACCCTGAGACCCGAGGACGTCCATTGATTTTTGGCGTGGGAACGCACGCTTCCCGTAGCAAAACCATCCAAACCCAAGAAACCCAGGGCACCCTGGAGACAAGCAGGGTGTTTCTTGGCATGAGTCTCCACTCTGCCCCACTCTGCGGGTGGCCGACCTCTGAGACCACGCCGTTGCATCTGACACATCGAAGTGCGAGCCAAAGCGCCATGCGACGACCCTGCGCGAGGAGCCGCTCGGCTTCGAAACATCGGCATCGCCGGCCTCACACCCAGACATCCAGCGCCTCCCTTTGCTCGACACACAGGCCTCCGACCTCTCGACCACCTCCCCAGGACCGCTTTTTCATCCCGAGTCTTTGTTTGACGGCGCCGAGGCCCGGTGACGGCCCCGAGAGGGCGAAAACTGTGTGAAACACCTCCGCCTTGATTTTTTCAGGAGGCTGGATATCTGAGCAAATTCCTCTCCCTGCGATCCCCTTCAGAACCGCGTGATGGGGGCCTCACGAAGGGGGTCCGAGTAGACGGGGTCGGAGGATCGTGCCGCATCCACAATGCATCGCCGATGCATCGTCGACGGACCGGTGACGTCGGCGATGCATCGGCGCCATTGGCGTGGAAAACACCTGGCCCCATACCAAGCCACATCGCCAATGCATCGGCTATGGCGCGATCCCCAGGGACCCGACTTGGGAGGCCTGGACATGTTGGCGGCACGCTCAAGGCGGAAAGCGGATGGGGGAACCTTCTTAGAAGGAGGCCGCTTCTTAGAAGGCGCCAGCCCTACATCTCCAGACAAGGCCCGCGCCTTGTGAGGAGCAGGGGTGCTTCTAAGAAATCCTCCGCCCTCCCCCTACCCTGCGCGTGGCCGAATGAACAGAAACCTAAAGGTACATATACCGCTACTCCCAGGACCTCTCCTGGGGTACGTTCTGACTAGAATCTCGACGCGAATACAGCGACGGCGACGAGGGCCTCACAGGAGGCCCAAAGAAGGCGGAAACTAGAGAAGGGTGGCGGTAACCTTTTCTGACTGCCTACCAAACCACCCCAACCCGACCCGAAGACCCAAATTTCGGGTCGGGGGGGGGTGCGGATTCCAATGCTCCCCGAAGCCCCCACCCCCCACTGGGAATGGAGGGCAAATTGGGGCCTTCGGGTTGGGCTGGGGTGATTAGTGGGGTGGGTACTTTCCTCTTCTGATGATTGGCGGCGAGCGAGGGGGGACATGAGGAGAAGGCCATCTCAGAAAGCGGCGGTACTCTTTAGAAGCCCTCCATCCTTCTGAAAAGTTTGCTGTGACTTCGGGGATTGCTGAGAACAAACTTCTCAGAAGGCCGGGGGACTTCCGAGCCTTCCGAGGCCCACCCCTCCGCGACGTCGTGATTTTTTCACGACGCGTCGACCCCGAAAAGTCTGGACCCCTTCACCGGGACCGGTTTCTCGTCCCGAGTCGCTCTTCGACGGTCCCGAGGCCCGGTGCGGGCCCCCGGAGGCCGCAACTTCAGCGAAAATCCTCCCGCCGTGATTTTCTTTGGTTTCCGCAGCGCGAGGAGGTCTGGGGGCTCGCCGCCGCGATGAGCTCCTGGCAGCCGCGCCGCCGCCCGCGGCGCCCGGCAGGGGCCGCCGCTCGCCGCCGGGCACCTGCCGACCGGCCGCCGGGCCGCCGGCGCCGCGCCGGCCGGCGGCCGGCGCGGTGCCGCGGCGGATCTCGGCGCCTCCGCGGCCGGCGGCCGGCGGCCCGGCGGGGGGCGCTCCCCGGGGGAGCGCTGGCAGGGGAAGAGGCCACGGCAGCAGCACAGAGAACCTCGGAGGTCCGCGCGGACTCCTCGGAGCTCGGTGGTTCCATGAGGGGGTCCAGGCGGGGGATGGGGGATCCGACAGGGAGAGGAAGGGGTCTAGGGGTGGGCATATTCACATTGATCGAGGCACCTCGTCTTGGTGGTTCAAAGATGGGCGACGATCCAAAACGGGTCTTACGCGAGGTGACGTAGCGACATCACGCGGCGGCTTGCGCGGGCCGCGAGCGCGGCACGCTGCATGGGAGGCGAGTGCGCTGACGCACGACCTTACGCGGGCAGCGACATCGTTTCTTGGCGTCGCTTGGATGGGGTCCAGAGGGATGGGGTCCTATGGATAGGAAGGGATCCAACGGTGGATTTGCATTATTTCAGGCACCTCGTCCTCAGGACCTCACCCCTCAGGACCCCATCTTTGAACCACCGAGGATCGGCGCTGGACCCCCTCCCTGGCGCGCGGAGCGGGCCAGGGGCGGCGCTGGAGGCGCCGCCAGGGGGGCCCGGCGCTGATCCGAGGAATCCGCGCGGACCTCCGAGCTTTCATGCTCATGTCATGGCTTGTTCCCCCAGCTCGGCGCCGCGGCGGCCGGCCGCCGCCGGGGAGGTCGCCGGCGGGAGCGCCTGCTGGCCCTGGGAGTCGACGAGGCACAGCTGCTTCTCGTCGGGGCAGTACACGAAGTACCTCCCCCCAGCCCCGCGAGATCTCGGCGTGGCTATGTTTTCACAACGCGCGTGCCCTCGCCCGGATTCGGGCCCCGGGACCCTCGCAGATCGGTCGGGCTCGAAAACTGATGCAGGAACGTGGGGTCTTGGGGGTCTGGTCGCGACATTTCGCGATGTTGCAGATGCTTCGCTTCGTCGGAACTCAAGGCATGGGGGGGGGGGCAGGCGGGGAGAGAAGGACGGAGAGGATGAGCATGAGCATGAGCGCTGTGTGGGAGCTCCAGTTGATGGCAGGGCCAGCCTGCAACGACTGCTATCACTAAAGTCAGCACCACCCTTTCCCCTTTCTCTGAGGGTGCTTCTCGTTTGGGCCGTACACGAAGTACTTTCCATGGCGCGAGCTAAGCAGTGCTGTATGTTTGGGTTATCGTGTTCCCTAGTTCGGTCTGTCTTCGGTCCACCCTTGCTGCAAAACGAGATCAGAACGAAGATGGTCCACGAAATCGCCAAGACACCGTTGAGCTCGCGCCCTGGTACCTCCCCCATCCCGTAATATTAGTTACCAGATCTTTCCAGTCGCGATCGGCAACGACCGATCGGCTCTCCAGATCGGTCGCGGCCGATCGCAACCGATTCCAAAATCGGCAGCGACCAATACCAAAATTTAAAACAAAATCGGTAGCGAACGATCTTATCGCTCGCGGCCGATCGCCCATTGGTCGCATCCAATGATAAGGAATTGGACCAGGTGGGGAGTGCCTGGCGGAGAGGATGAGCATGAGCATGAGAGGAGTTCCTGCCGATGACAGGGCCAGCGTGCAAAGACTGTTGTCACTAAAATTCAGTACTACAATATCTCTGAGGCACAGCTGCTTGAGCTAAGCGGTGCTGTCCGCTTTCGTGGTATCGTTTTCACTAGTTCTATTCTCGGTCCGCCCTTGCTGCACAACGAGCTCAGAACGAAAATGGTCAACGAAATGGTCAACGAAAATGGTCAACGAAAATGGTCAACGAAAATGGTCAACGAAATGCTCCCAGTACCTCCCCCATCCCAGATCATTGGGTACCAGATTTTTGTTCGGTCGCGATCGACAACGACCGATCGAAACTCCAGATTGTCAGCGGCCGATCGCGGCCGACTCCCAAATCGGCCGCGACCGATACAAGAACTTTCAAGGCACACTCGCTAGCGACCGATCTGATCGGTCGCGACCAACCTCATCGGTCGCATCCAATGATCAGGGATGGGGCCAGGCGGGGAGAGCAGGGCGAAGAGCGGGGGGGAGGGAGAAGATGAGGACCAGCCGCTGCTGCAGCTGACGGGGAAACCGCTGCAGCAGGCGCAGCAGTGGCAACGGCTGCTCGCTGCATCATGTCACTGCTCACTGCATTTGCAAGGCGCCTTTTTGAGGACGGGAAGCCGGATATTTAGGCCAGCTTCGCGGGACCGAAGCTTCGGGGAGGCCGTCTGCTGCGGCGCCTTTCAGTGCGCGACCGGGGGAGGGGCGGCTTGGCCACCATCGCGCCTGCCTCACCAACCCCCTGGGAGCAGGTAGTTGATCGAGCCAGCTATTCCAACCCCGGCTTCCGTTTCGGGAAGGGGTTTGTCCCTGCTCTTACACTGGACCAGCCAACAACCACGAGCCATGAGACGACATCCACCATCCAACCCGAACAAACTATACAAAACGCCCGCGGCGGCAAAATCTGGATCGTGAGCGGGACCCCCCCAAACACTCTGCATTGGTTTCAACGCATGTTGTAAGGGGCTTCAACCTGCTAGAAAACACCACGTTCCTGAGCCCTCAGGGTGCGGAGCACGTGCCGTGCCGCGCCGTACCCCTACTCGCGCGCCGTGCCGTGCCGTGGCCGCGTCCCAGGCCGCGCCCAAGCTCCAAAGAACATCAAATGTGCCGTGCCGCGCCATGCCCGCGTGCGGTGCCGTGCGCATGGTCTAGAATTCGAAGACCGTGGGCGCCGTGCCGTGCCATGACCGCGTGCCGTGTCGTGCCCCGAAGGCGGAGTCCGAGAAAGAGCCGCGCCGTGCCGTGCCAGCGTGCCGTGCTGCGCCCAGGCTCCAGCATGCGAAGGAACGATGTCGCGGCATGACCGCGTGCCGTGCCGTGCCGCGCTTACTGTTGAGGACGCGCACACGTGCCATACCGTGCCGTGCCGTGCCGCGCCCGCGCGCCGCATCGTGCTCGGGCTTCGACGGCACTGCTACCCACACCAGGCTCGCCCCCGTTGATGTTGACTCACCTTGTGAATGCATGCCGTGATCTTGTCTACGGTCTTCTTGCGCGGCGTCAACATGCAAACTCACTGCGGGTGCGCACGCATATCATACTAGAACCGTCGCGCGCGCTTCGCGCGCGCTCAAGATCTAGCCCAGGCCGGGGGGGACGCTGGAGGATCTTGGACTGCGCTATCAATCACAGGAGCGTGACATAGTCGTGCCTCCTGAAGGCCTCTTGGGGACCTCTTGGGTCTTCGTGGGGGCATCTGAAGGGTTTCTGGGGGGTTCTCCGTGCTTCCCCAATTAGCTGTTGAAGACATCTCTTGGGTGCTTCTTGGGGGGGCGTCTTGGGGCTTCTTGGGGTCCCTTGGGAGCATCGTCGGGGTTCTCCGGGCAGCCGGAAGGTGATGTTCTGCAATCTGAAGCCGTCACTGGCCGTCTTGGCTGCCTAGAGGCCCGACTTGAGGGCGCCTGAGGCCACGCTGAGACAATCCGGAAGCCTCCTGGGGGCCTCCTGCAAACAGTTTTGATGCATCGAGGGCGCTGTTGGGCAATCTTGAGGCCCCTTGTACCTTTAGGGGCCACTTGGGCGGCTCATGGGGGCCTCGTCGGACCACTTGGGCACTCTTGGGGCCTTATCTGGGCCTCTGAGGGCGGAAGACTCTGCTGTTGGGTTCGCGTTCCCATTTTTGGGCCTCTCTTGAGACCATCTTGGGGCCCACTCGGGTTGTTTTGGGCGCCTCAGGCACCGTCTTGGGGCCTCGTGGGCCGCCTTGGGGCCCCTGTGCTAACCTCTTCGGCTATCGTGGAGCGGTCTTGGGAACCTCTTGGGCCGCCTTGGAGCGTCGGGATGCCAAAAGGCTGAAGCGCTAAACTGCACCAAACACCAAAAGAAAATCCGTGATTTTGGCTTCTTTGGGCCATTAGAGGAAGTCGGGCCATCCGGAGGCCATTTTGGGCGTGTTAAAACGATAACTCCGCGAAAATAGGCCTCCTCGAGGCCTCTCGCATAGTAGGTCTCCTGCAGGCCTCTCGCGGCCCTTTTCATCCGTGTTGGGGCTGTCTTGGGCGGTCTGGAAGCGTCCCTGGCGCCCCGACATCCCCATGGCGCGTCGGGGGTACCCCCAACTCGGTCCAGGGATACATATATATATACATATATATATATATATATATGTATGTATGTATGTATATATGTATGTATATATACGTATGTGTGTTTGTGATCATGTCTGTATATACACGTATACATATACATGCCGATATGCCTATATATGTAATAGTATGTACATGCATACACGCATACATGCATGCATGCATGCATGCATACATACATACATACATACATACACACATACACACATACATACATACATACACACATACACGCATACATACATACATACATACATACATACATACATACATACATACATACATATTTACTTACATGCATACATACATACATCCATACATACATGCATGCATACATCTATGCACACACATACACACCTACATTACATACATTACAGACATACATACACAACTACATACATACATACATGCATGCATGCATGCATGCATGCATACATACACATATACATACATACATACATACATACATACATACATACATACATACATACATACATACATACATACATACACGCATACATACGCACATACATATAGATATATATACAATTATCTACATACATACAGACATACAACCATACATACATACATACATACATACATACATACATACACACACATATGACATACATGCACACATTACATTACATTCCATGACAGTACACTACACTACATTCCATTACATTACATGACCTTCCATTGCATTACATTACATACATTACATTACACACATACATACTTACAGACAGACAGGCAGACATCCATACAGACAGACAGACAGACAGACAGACAGACAGACAGACAGACATGCATTAATACATAAGTATAACTATATATATGTGTACATATACACACATATATATATATATGTATGTATGTGTGTGTGTCTTCGGGGGCTTCTTAGAAAGAAGTTTGAAACCTTTGTTTTTTTGGGGGGCGGCCGTCTTGGGGCCTCTTGGAGCCTCTTTTGGGCTTCTCGGGGGCCTCTTGGGGGCCTCTGGGGGGCCTCTTGAGCCGTCTTGGGGGCTTCCTGGGGGCCTATTGGGGCCTCTTGGGCGCATCTGGGGGCGGAGAGCTTGATTTTTCAGTTCGCGTTCCCTCTCTCGGGCCCCTCTTGGAGCCTTCTTGGGACACTCTTGCGCCGTCTGGGGCGGCTCTGGGGCTGTCTCGGGGCTCTCTTGGGCCGCCTTGGGGCCCTCTTGGGGGCCTCTTGAGCCGTCTTGGAGCGGTTTGGGGAGCCTCTTGGGCGGTGCTTTAGCGCCGGAAACACGAAACAGCGAGAATGCAAACAACATTGAAGAAACACATGAAAATCAACGACTTTGCCCTCTCGGGGCGCTCTTGGGCGGCATCTTGAAAGACCTCTTGGGGCGTCTTGGGGGCCTCCGGGGCACTTCAAAACGCATCATGCGGCCTCTTGGGGGCCTCTTGGGGCCTCTTGAAGGCTTCCTGGGGGCCTATTGGGGCCTCTTGGGCGCATCTGGGGGCGGAGAGCTTGATTTTTCAGTTCGCGTTCCCTCTCGCGAGCCCCTCTTGGAGCCTTCTTGGGACACTCTTGCGCCGTCTCGGGCGGCTCTGGGGCCGTCTCGGGGCTCTCTTGGGCCGCCTTGGGGCCCTCTTGGGGGCCTCTTGAGCCGTCTTGGAGCGGTTTGGGGAGCCTCTTGGGCGGTGCTGTAGCGCCGGAAGCACGAAACAGCGAGAATGCAAACAACATCGAAGAAACACATGAAAATCAACGACTTTGCCCTCTCGGGGCGCTCTTGGGCGGCATCTTGAAAGACCTCTTGGGGCGTCTTGGGGGCCTCCGGGGCACTTCAAAACGCATCATGCGGCCTCTTGGGGGCCTCTTGGGGCCTCTTGAAGGCTTCCTGGGGGCCTATTGGGGCCTCTTGGGCGCATCTGGGGGCGGAGAGCTTGATTTTTCAGTTCGCGTTCCCTCTCTCGGACCCCTCTTGGAGCCTTCTTGGGACACTCTTGCGCCGTCTCGGGCGGCTCTGGGGCCGTCTCGGGGCTCTCCTGGGCCGTCGTGGGGCCCTCTTGGGGGCCTCTTGGGCCGTCTTGGAGCGGTTTTGGGAGCCTCTTGGGCGGTGCTTGAAACAGTGAGCATGCAAACAACATGGAACAAACACATGAAAATCAACGATGTCGCCCTCTCGGGGCGCTCTTGGGCGGCATCTTGAAAGGCCTCTTGGGGCCCATCTTGGGCCATCTTGGGGGCCTCCGGGCAGTTTAGAACGCATCGTGCGTCGCCAGAGACCCCTGGACGGCGTCTTAGGGTTGTCTCGAGACCGTCTGGGGCCACCGGGATTGCTGCCTGAGGGCTACCCGGGGCGATTTTAGGCCTCCCAGAGGCGGGCCCAGGCCCCGGTGCCCACATTTGTGGTCGAGGTTCCGGCCCTCGGCCCCTGGGCCTGGTGCGCAGCTATATGTATACATCATGCCGACCACTCCGCCTCCGCTGTGCAGTGGTTGTTGACACGGATTATCGGGGAGCCGACATATTATCCGATGTGTGCTGCCACGCTCCTTGGCGCATACTCTATGCACAATGACTGTACATGGCGCGGCTGGAGCAGATGGCGCACGTGGCACATCTGGCGCACTTCGCCAGCGGCACACGCATGGCGTCTTCGTTGGCTCGCAGTGGATGTCCATCCGGTGGCGACCCCTGCCTGCGCTGACTCGCGCGTGCTACTCATACGGCGGGGCGGCGGTGCACAGTTTCCCCCGGGGCCGTAGACGACCCGAGGAGGGGGAGGAGGAGGAGGAGGAGGAGGAGGAGGAGGAGGAGGAGGAGGAGAAGGAGGGGGAGGGGGAGGGCGAGGGGGAGGGGGAGATGGAGGAGGGTGAGGAGGAGGAGGAGGAGGCGGAGGAGGAGGAGGAGGAGGGGTCGCCTAAGCCCTTCGGAGAAGCCCCCTAGGCGGCGGGTGGGAGTGAGTGAGACAGCTTGTGGCGCTCCCGCCGGGAGCTTGACCCCCCCTGCCTTCCCGGTGGGAACTTGGCACCTCCCCTTACCCCTCACCTGGATTTCGACTGGGATTGGGCGTGGAGGGTCAAAATCGAGCAAAATCTATCAAGATTGCGTCAAAGATAAGACGATCACCCAAGATGGCGTCCCAAATGGCGTAGTGTTTTTGGTTCCGCCCCCTGCTGTTGTTCCCCCCTAAGCCCTCAAGAAAAGTCGAAAAGCGTTGTAAAAACGATTAAGAACTATAAACCCGATTACAAGGCCGGATTCGCCCAAACTGACCCCATTATGACATGTATTAGATGGATTGCGCTGGACTAGCGGGAATAGGCTGGATTATTTCAGAAACGACAAGTTTGGGGGGAACGCGATCCACCATCGCTGGCATGGAGCATGCCTGTAGGGGGGGTCAGAAACTAGAGACCCTCCCTTCCCCCCCAGAATATATCGTAAAATGATGGTCAGAAACCACAAATACCCCCTTCCCTTCCTAACCCTCCTCCCCACCCCACCCTCGAGGACCGAAGAATGAAACTGCAACGTGTACACAGGCAGGACGTCCCAATCGTGAGACGGTGCGCTGGGACGCGGGCGGAGCTGCCGCCACACACCTAAAGCCTAGTTCAAAGAGCACGTGGGGCACAGACAAATTGACACCAAGGGCTACCCGTTACAACTATCGCCCAGGCATTACGGTGCAGAGGAAGCAGGCTGATGAGTGCAGCACCGCACGGGGCAAACATTTACGCTGCTAGCGCACCAGTCTGCGCCAGGAAAGTGGGACAAGCGACACGCCCAAGCTGGCTCGAGATTGCCTACCACGGCCATGCTGACGAGGGGAAGAAGCGACGACGACGGCGACCCCCCTCCCCGCAAAAACCGGGAGGTCTGGAAAGTTCATCGGAGGGGTTCCGACCCCCCCCCGCCCGAAAATTATTCGAGATCTAAAAACAAACCCCCGTCCCCCAGGCAACGACGACGGCGACGACGACGACCACATCGTCGCCAGCAAACGACGCGGATGATGTCGAGGACGACGACGGCGGACCACGACCACGACCTCGACGACGAGGAGGACGACTTCGAGGATAATGACAACGAATATGACGACGACGCGTACGAAAATGCCGACGACGGCGACGTCGTTAGCGGCCACGCACGTGGTGACAACTACGAAATTCGCAACCACCCAGGGAGCAGCGAAGTCCCGTCTGGATCCGCGTGGCCCCCGACTCCGCTGGACCTCCCAGGAGTCCACGAAACTGGTGACAGCTGCGCAATTCGCAGCTACGCAGGGAGCAGCACCACAGTGCTCGATTCAGAACGCGAACCCAACACAGGAGCGACGGGAATGGAGCAGGAGGCAGACGGCAGGAGGAGGGAGGCGGGAAGGACAAGAGAGGCGGGAAAGAAGGTGGAGACCACGGTGCTCGATTCAGTGTAGGAGCCCAACACAGGGAGGCTGGGGGGGGGGCAGAAAACGAACGCCATGCAGACAACAGAGGAGGCCATGCGCAACAGAGGAAGCCGTGCGTAACAGAGGACGCGTGTATGGGGCAAAACAGCAGGAGTGGACAGTGGACCGGTTCCCTCTGCCACTCAGCCAGGACTCCTAAAGGCAAGCCTTTTCGAATTGGATAGCAAATAAGCGACGAGAACAAACGAACCTTACGCGAGATGGCATAGCGACCTTACGCGGTGGCTTACGCAGGCCGCCAACGCGGCATGCTACATTGGAAACGAAAGCATTCACGCGCGACTTTACGCGAACAACTTACGCGCGCATGCCCGCGCAATTGACGCCGCTTCTTCCGTCGCTCACATGAGGACGCAGCACACGGGAAAAGCAACCGAAGCTGCCGTTCAAGTAAGCCCTGACTTCTGGTGGAACCGCCACAGATCCCCTCGGCTGCTCGTCCCACACCCCTTCTCCCGATCCTGTGCCCCCCCCACACTCCCCGCCACCTCCTCCTCCAATGCACCCAATTCGCCCAGTCTTACTTCGCACGCCACAGTGCGATGCTTTTTGGAGTTCCAGGCCCGCTCGGACTCCAGCCGGAAGATTCGGGCAACGATCGGCCGAATGAGATGGGATGGGTGGGAGGGACAGGATTAGGTCGGGCATGTCCCCCTACAGGCGGATTTTGGACGAAAAATCAAAAATACGCCAAACATGCTCCAGAAGTGCGCCAACAAACATTCAAAAATACGTCCCCGGATTATTTTGTTTGCCTATGTGTTTAATTCCTCCTGTAGAGGCCAAGGCCCGACTTAAGAATAGGATGCCAGATGTGGCGCGAGCACGCCCAGCTTGCCCCTCACCCTCGGCCCCCCTCCCCCGTCCACCTCCCCCCCCGCCCCTCCCCCTCTCCCTGCGCGGTTTCCCCCGGGGCCGTAGACGACCCGAAAAGGAGGAGGAGGTGGAGGAGGGAGGAGGTAGGAGGACCATGACTTGGCTTATGAGGGAGGCTAAGGGTTGGCCGACCCGACCCGAACCCAAAACCTCGTGGCGCTGAACCACCAAGGTTCTCCACTGCGGCCGAGGATGAAACCAAAATGCCGCAGAGACGGCAGAACGCTGCCGACGCTGAAACAAGGAAAGGCGATGAAGGGCCCTGATGCGAGAGTGCACCTTCCCCCTGAAGCGGGGTGCCTGACACACGTGCAGCCAGAGCGCGCACACACAAACATACACACGCACACACACACACACACACACACGCGCACACACACACACACACGCACACACACACACACACACACGCACACGCACACACACAAACACACACAAGACAGTCACAAGGCGACGCCAGGACGACGAGGCACCGATGACCCCTGGTGGGTGAAACAACGCCAGGACGGTGGCAGGCCTCACCCCTGGTGTGGGCCTATCTAGAAACAGATGGTGCCAAGGCCTCCTTGAGCCGACTTCAAACGGGAGGGAGGAGGAGGAGGAGGAGGAGGAGGAGGAGAAGCAGGCCCATTCCCCTAAGCCCTTCGGAGAAACCCTCCACCACCTCTCCCCGAAGACCTCCTCAGCGCAAGCGCCTCCGCAAGAGTTCGTGGCCAGCGCCGGAGGAGGAGCCAAGCCGCTCCCCTCGACGAGGAGGGCCCAGGCAAACCCATCGGAGCAGGAGGGGAGGGAGAGAAGGGGGAGGGAGAGAAGGGGGAGGGAAGGAAGGGGGAGGGAGAGAAGGGGGAGGGGGAGGGAGAGAATGGGGAGGTAGAGAAGGGGGAGGGAGAGGGGGAGGGCGAGAAGGGGAGGGGGAGGGAGAGAAGGGGGAGGATGGGGATGGCGGCACTTGGAGGCGTCGGAGGTCCAGAAGTAGGTAGTGTTCGGGTCGTAGTACAAACCTGCCTGGGCAAATGAGCCACTGCACGCAGTCTGCTTGATCGGGGACGCAGGCAAGAGGTGGGAACGAAGCCATGCAGGCGTGAGAGACTAACCAGGGAAGAAGCGCAGGAGACGGCACCCTGCTACTGCAAGTCCAGGAAGAGAAAACAGCCAGCACACACAGAATTACGCTTTTAGCGGTCCATGCGTTTCTTTGTGCAGACCCTGGACCCGCTTCCCACGAACTCATTTTTTGATCCTTCGCGATCACGCCCCGGCCCCGCCCACCCACTCCTCCCCCCTGGTCACGTCACGGTTCGCGCCGGCGACGTCTAAGAATTAGCCATACTTCAGCACTTCCAGACGGCACTGGCGCGAATCGTGACACGACCGGGCCCTTCATGCGGGGGGCGCGAGTTGTCGGCGAGTCAAAGATGGCCCCGGCGAGAATGCCAGCATCATTGATTTTACTAAGGTTTGGGCCACATTTTGGCACCCTGGGGGGGATTTAATGTACTACTGCCCCTCCTTTGATCGATCTCCTCCAAGATGGCCCCAAGATGGCCCCCGAGGCTCCCAAAGGTACCCGAAGAGGAACCCCAAGAGGTGCCCAGGAGGCTCAAAGAGGCCCCCAAGATGCACCCAAGATGCTCCCAAGAGACCCCCATAAGGCCCCAAGAGGCCCCCCAGAAGCACCCAAGACGCCCCATGAGGCCTCGGCGAGAAGGCAAAAATCACGTATTCAGGTTTTGGCCACTTTCTGGCATTCTGGGGGGGGCGATCTCCTCCAAGATGGTCCACAAGGCTCCAAGGGTGCTCCAGGACAGCCCCAAATGGTGCTCAGGGGGCCTCGAGCGTCCCCCAAGAGGCCCCTGCCCCAAGAGGCCCCTGGGACTGCCAAGACACACCCAGGACACCCACGGAAGAAATCCGAAGGAACTCCGAGAGGCATTCACGATTCACGAGGCTTCTGGCCTTTCCTCCTCCTCATCCTCCCGCCCCCCCTCCTCCTCGTACTCCTTCTCCTCCTTCTCCTCCTCCCCCCCTCCTCCTCCTCCGCCTCTTCCTCCTTCTCCTCCTCCTGCTCCTCCTGCTCCTTCGATTCCTTCGCCATCATCCTCTCACTCATGGGGTACGACGTCTTACGAAACCCTTTATTCCACGGCGTGCCCCGTCACATCCCTCATCAAAGCAACTCTTCTGGGCATCGCTCGGGTCACACGAGGCATCTGGAATCGTGTGTTGGAAACCTACAGCTTTGATTGTATGTGGTATGTTAGCATGCGTGCAGGACAGGCGCGTTTGGTATGGTTTCGACATGTGCGCGCATGTGGACGTCGTTCCGTCTGTTCCAAAGGAATGTTGAAACATGATCTTTTGATGCAAACGAATGCGCGAACATAACTAGCATTGTGTGGCAAGGCTGAGGGGCGGATACCCGGCCTCCGTGGGGTATTCTGCCTTCGTTTGGGAAATGAGCGATGATGCAGATCCATGTGTAATTTGAACTGTCCGAAAGGGAGTCGACTAGACCTGGGGGAGAGGGGGTTAGAGTCTCCTGTTCTTTTGAACCAAGAACCCAGGTGGTGTTATCTGTGGCACAATCTCTATGAATACGTGTAAATGCATTACATCCCCCCTAACGTAGCCAATCCCTACCCTAACCTGACCCAGGCCCTGTCGACACTGCGCCAAAGCTAACCTGACTCATTAAAGTCAACGTGGCCAACGGCTCGGCGACACCAGTGTGTCACGCGCGCTGTAGCAAATTATGCACCAGAATGGGGCGGCACAGCAACAGGAAATGCAAAAGTGACAACTGTATCACTGATCCCTCTTCGTTTCCAATGACAAATCTGGCTGGCGCTGAAGCGAGAGCAGCTTTCGCAATCATGGATGTGGCTGGCGGACTCCTATGGATTCCCTAAGGAGTGTTATGGATATCCGACGGAATCCTATATATTTCACAACGCATGTTATGGATGTCCTCAGGAATCCAATGGATGTCCTCAGGGATCGTATGGATTCCCTAAGGAATCCTCCTTAGGAAGCTTGTGGATGTCAGCAGGAATCGTTTGGATTTCCTGAAAAATCCGTGGGATTTCCTAAGAAACCCAAATTGGATGTCCGAAGGATTCCTGTAGACGTCCTAAGGAATCTTACGGATTTCCAAAAAAAAAATCCTATAGATGTCCGTAGGACTCCTATGGATGTCCTAAAGATTCATATAGATGTCCTAAGAAATTATCTGGACTTCCGGAGGATTCCTATAGATCTCTTTAAGGGATTTCCTAGAAGGCATTCTATATAATCCTTTGGAAAGTCCATAGGATTCCGGAGGTAATGCATAGGTTTCCTCATGAATTTTAACAGATTGCCTCAGGACTCCGTAGGCAATCCATAGGAATCCATCGGAATTCCATCGGATTCCCCAGGACGTCCATAGGAACCCATAGGACATCCATCGGATGCCCTACGACATCCATAGGATTACCGAGGAAATCCATCGGAAGCCTTATGAATCCATGCTACTCAACATAAGAAGATAACAACTTCGATTCGCAAAATTACCCCGCGATTACCTTGCCGCCTCTCTTCCCTGACCAAAGCTGTACTGGACGGGGATAATCAAGATTCAGTACGAAAGGGGGTTGGGGGACCCTATGATTTTCGGGGGTGGGCGGTTAATCATCTCGCAGACGGTATCCGGAGCGTCTTCTTACGGTACTCAAGGGTGAAACGGAGGCGAGTAGACGAATGGAGGTGCGAGGGGTCGAAGGAATGGGGAAAAAAGGAAGGACTACGCTTTACGGCTTTACGGACCAGGAGAAGGATGTAGAAGACGAGGGGAAAGTGGACGGAGCAGGAGGAGAGAGACCAGGATCAAGAGCAGGAGGGGCCGCAAGCAACCTAGAATCTGAAGGGCGCAGCGACGCGGCAACACAATCCCCTCCGAACCGAACCGACCGAACACAACCGACTGCGACGCAACCGAACTGACCGAACCGCGAACACCCTTGAATAACGTAGCTGGGCCAGCTGCCTCTGCCAGCAGCACCTCACCCGCCCTCAGTCCCGGCCGAGGCGTCCCAGCCGCGGCGGGAGGACCAGCCAGCAAACAAGCTCAAACCATACAGCCATCGTGCTACAAGAAGGAACGATTAATAAGGAAAGGGAGCTTTTCTGGCCACGGCGAGCCTAGGCCACTAACGTGTTCTTTGCCCATCCTGAGCCGAAATGGGTCTGTATTTCATCGTCTTGACTGTGCACCCGATCAGAACTGTGCCGCGCTCCATCTCTGCTTCTTTCGCCAGAACTCAGGTCAGCGGTCTGACAGCCACATGCCTTGGACAATCAACAGGGGAACAACAAATGACATATCATAAAAACTCGAAGGTCCGCCCGGATTCCTCGGATCCCGGCGCCGATCCGAGGAATCCGCGCGGACCTCCGATTCGTATGCTCATGTCGTTGCTTGTTTCCCACATCAGACGCGCCAAATTCTCGAGGGCCTCGTCGAGAGGACTGGCAAGGCGCTGGATCGGGCTGCATCGCCAATTCATCGGCGATCCTCTGACCTCGTCTACGCTGGCTCCATCTGGGCGGCCTGGAACTCATCCCTGCCTCAAGCCCCAAAGTGCCCGTCCGACGGCTCTGGGGGCCAAGGTGCAAGGGGCTCGGCCGGATGGCCGCCTTCGCGTCGAAGTAGAACCCGGAGTCCTTGTCGTACTCGAACGTGTTAGCGGACCTCGCCGAGGAGATGACCAATCGACATTCTCTGGCTCTGGGAAACCCGCCCGCGGCCTCGTGGCATCCCAGCAGACACCAGCGGGCTACAGTACTGCATGTTAAGAGGCAGCTTCTGGGAAGTACTCGTGAAGATGATCAAAAACAGTCGAGCCCGATAAAGGGGCTGTAGAACCAGGTTGTGCAAGATCAGTTCAGATTAACCAGATGTAGCAACATGTACTTCAGAACTGATCCAGATTGGGTAAACATAAACTGGAGTGGGTGGGATTCAGCAGGAGCGCGCTGAATTGCGGCAAAGGCTGCAATAGGCCAGATGCTTTATTAATTCTAACCCATGAAGAATCGCAACCTCACGCATGCCACGGTCCCTTACCAATGTGTAGAGCTTCGGACTCGGAATACAATTACTCCAGTGCGACCCTACCTAGAAGTTGGAGCACCTAGGAAAGCAGCATTACTTGCAATGTTATGCTATGCTATGCCATGACATGCTGCGCTATGCTATGTTATGCAATGCTATGCTGCGTGATGCTATGCTATGCTATGCGAAGCTAAGCTATGACATGTCATGCTGCGCAGTGCTATGCTAAGCTATGCTATGCTATGCGATGCTATGGTGCGCTGTGCTATGCTGTGCTGTGCTGTGCTGCGCTATGCTATGCTGTGCTATGCTGCGCTATGCTATGCTATGCTGGGCTATGCTATGATATGCTATGCTGCGCTATGCTATGCTACGCTATGCTATGCTGTGCTCTGCTATGCTAAAGCTCAGCGAAGCTAAGAGAAAGGTAAGCTAAGCTAAGATACACCTGAGCTAAGATGAAGCTAAGCTAAGCTAAGATGAAATAATCTAAGCTAAGATGAGATAAGCAACGCTAAGCTAAGGGGACGTAACTGGGGGAACCGCGGGGCGGATACTGGGGGAACCGCCCGGGGCGTGCCCCACTGCCCGGCCCTTTCAGCTACGAAGTAAGAACCCTTCTAGGCAGAGCCTAGGTAGGGAAATACACACATTCCCCGAAGCCGTGCGTGAATGTGTGTCCATTTCTGTTTATGTGTGTTGGCCAACCTTTACCACCGCCCGCTGGCGTTTGCTTTCCGGGACACTTCACGCCCAAGAGCGCGCGAGGCACCCCCAAGACGACCCAAGAAAGGTCCGAAGTCGTCACCTGGAAACGTAACAAACAACTAGATCAGACCCTTGTAGACTCCCCTGGAGACCTGACGTGAACTCCCACCACCAGACAAAGCCACACGAGGCTCCACTGTGCCTCCAGAACGCTCCCAAGCAATCCTAACAGGCTGCCAGAACGACCTTCCAGAAAGTATCGGCCATCTGTCGGTCACCCTTGTGCTCCAAGATGCAGCAATACAGCCCAAAAATCCCCCCCCCCATTCGAGACGCACCATAAACGGCTCAAGACTGGCCCAGGATGGCCCTCGACGCCTCGCAGACGGCGAGCCTAAGTATGCCAACACTGCCCCGAGACTGTCCCGAAGCACACCCATCCGGCCCCAACATTGCACTGCAGAAACTCTTCTTGAGAGATCGCAAAGACCACGGCGCCAAAGACAGCCAAGAGCGGCCTGCGGATCCTGCGGAGGTCCATTGATCACGGTGTACCTACAGGAAAGCCTTGATGTGACCACTGTGGACTCATAGCAAAAGGACCCTGGATCCACCTCGACGCAGCCCTGGCACGGCGGCGGGTGTTGCCGCGGGGCACTGGGTACAGTCACCCAAAACGCTGTTTCACTCATGAGATCCGCGATGCCCCTATTTGTCGCAATTAATCTGGGCTGTCACCACAAAGAGTCGGAAAGTTTCATTACTTCATCGCCACGTCGTCTCATTCTTGACAGAACTGGCTTGACCCGCGCATGTCCCCCTCATCACTCCAACTTCCTGCGCGTTCTTTTCAATATGGCTTGTCGACATATTCGAAGTGCGTGACGAGCACATGCTGTCAATTGGTTTTCCCTCCCCCAGCGATACTCAGCACTCTTTGGAATTATTGCCGCTCGCCCGCATGAAACGATTGAAGCATAATATCCGAGTGCAGCTCTCCATCGACTGTTGCCCGCACGACGTGCACTCCTCAAACAATGCTGGCGGGCGTCCTGCGCGAAGATAGTTTAGGAAACACTCCTGAAAAGTTTTCGCAAGAACGATTTGGCGCTGATAAACCAGATTCAGGAGCCTGAGCCGGGCTCAGCCGGATTAAACGAACTAAACATAACTATTAAGCCGGATTGGACGGGACTAAGCCACATTAGATGACTCTTCAACAAGGATCTAACAGCGCCGATTCAGAATCTAACCTCCCAGGAGTTGCATCCTGGTTTAGGAGGCTTCTACGAGACGGTGTACTTCCGACCTGTGGTCGAGGCCTTTTCGCAGCGCGTGTCGGAGATTGGATTATGCAGCGCGCGTTGGAGGACGCGTGCGGGCGGCGGACGTAGCCAAGGTTTCCATCGCCCTGAACGACGCGCTCGACGCAGCCGCCCGTCCTGTTCGTGTACCTGCTGGACCAGAGCGTGCTGCTGAAGGCTATCGTCTTCATGGACCCGAGCGTGCTGCTGCAGGCTATCGGGTTCCTGTACCTGCTGGACCCGAGCGTGCTCCTGAAGGTGATCGGGTTGCTGGACCTGAGCGTGCCGCTGAGGGCTATCGTGTTCATGTTCTGGCCAGAGGCGCCTTTCGAAAACATGATCTTGTTGCAGGTGCTGCTCGAGACGATCCTGGCGAGCTGGAGCCCGAGAGGGAGTCTTCCGACGACGGCGGCCCGTCTTCCCTGAGCACCGTCGACACCGCCGGCTTCGCGTACGACCGGACGTGTAGCCGCGGCGGCGCCGGTGGCGCTCACGCTCGTGGAGACGGCGCTAACGCTCGTGGAGATGATCGTCATGCCGACGGCGATCGTGATTACGCTGCTAAAGGCTATCGTGTTCCTGCTTAAGGCTATCGTGATGCCGACGGCGATCGTGGCGCTGCTGCGGAAGGCGATCGTGGTTCTGCTGCTGAAGGCGCCACTCGACGAGACGATCGTGGCGAGCTGCCGTCCGAGATGGAAATCTCTGACGACGACGCCCCGCCGTCGCTGAGCACCGTCGCTCGGGTTCCTGCAGTGGTTCAGCCTGGACCCGATTGCGATGCCAAAGCTGTTCATGCTGTACCCGATCATGTACCCGTTCATGCTGTACCCGTTCATGCTGTACCCGTTCATGCTGTACCCGATCATGCTGCTGCGGATCCCCTTCCTGAGGCTTGGTTTCGCCTCTGCGCTCGGCGGGATGGTGCCCGCACAGGCCAATTCGTTCAACTTCGCCTACGCCTTGATCGTGCTAAGTTTGTGCTTCGCGTGCGTAGCAGATTTTTCGAGGCGGCCCGTCGGTACGACTACCACCACGTCCCAGCCACGGCGTACGTTTTTGACAGTCATCTCGGAGATCACCGAGGAGACGCGCGGGTGTACTTTAGAGAGGCTCTTGGAATGCTGCTCGTGCGAGTCCGAGTTCGATGCCTTATATCTCACAGTAATGGCTCCCTCGCACACGTGGATGAGGCCCTCCTGAGTGGTGTTATGACCAGTTAGGTTCCCCCTCTTAGATCGCAGTCCGCTGGGGCCGTGCTGAGCTTCCTGGTGCTCTCGACCCCGATTGGCTGCTTGTATCTCTATGCGGTGTTTTTCGTACGGGTCGTCGATGGTATCCGTCTTCTAGCACTGCCACGCTTTTGGCTACGAGGACGAGGACGAGGTGGAGGCGGAGGTGAGGATTAGGAGGAGGAGGAGGAGCGTTACGACACGAGCTGCGCTGTCCGACGTGCGCCGTGAAGCTCGGCTGCCACGTTTCCGGCCGCTTCTAGCCATTGTGCGGCGACATGGAGGAGGAGGAGGAGGAGGTGAGGTGGAGGCGGAGAAGGCTTTGTTTCAACACTTCGCGACGTGCTTGTGCGAACTCACCGTCGTGTTTGCGCGTTCCTGCCCCCCTCGCCGCCCGATGCAGCGGGCGAGCGCTCCTGGCTGCCAGGCCTTCGGCCGTTTCTAGCCACTGTGCAGCAATATGGAGGAGAAGGTGAAGGATATTCGGCCAGCTCCGAACACCTCTTGCCCGATGAAGCCGGCGAAGACGTCGAAGGCTCTGTTTTAACCCTTCGCGACGTTCTAGTGCGAGCTTCCTGCCGTTTTGCTGCCAATTTCGGGCTCTCTTCTGGCTGCGACGATTTTTACCGCTTCCAGCCACTGTTCGGCGACATGGATCAGAGGTGGTTGAGGAGCGACGGTGGATGTGTGGGACGGGATCTGGACTGTATCTGTATTCGGCCAGCTCTCAGCCACCTCTCGCTCGATAAGTGGGCGAGTACGTGGAAGGCTTTTCCGTGATGCAGTGGGCGAACACAGCGAAAATGAGCGCCTGACGGTGATCGTGGCTGATATTGTTGGGATACCCAGCCTCTCATGGTCGACATTGGCGTCTCTCTCCCGTACTGTACTCGGGCCCCCACGCCGACGTCCTCTTCAAGCGTAGGAGAGGTCGCCTGTGGCATGGGCTGGGCGCCGCTATCTCATAGCAGCTTCGCGCCCGTGGCTGGTCTTCCGTCTGTGCATCTATGATGATGGAGGTGGAATTCGGAGGAGGGTTCGGTGGAGGGGGGGTTCGAGCTGGGTCGACAGCGTGCCAATCGAGCTGAATGTAACTGGCCTGCGATTCATGGCGACTTTCTGGATCGCGGGCGCCGTGCCAATCGAGCTGAATGTAACTGGCCTGCGATTCATGGCGACTTTCTGGGTCGCGGGCGCTCGTACTGGCCCCCTGGCTGCCTGCCTGTTTCGCCCGCGTTCGACCGAGCTCGAGGCGTCTGCTCGTGCCCGCCTGCCGTCGGCAGGCCCTCTGACGCCACAGGTGTGATCGCCTAGCGGCCTGCGCAGAAAAAAAGACAGTGGGGATGAGGACTGCGGGGGGCAGTCCAGATCACGCGAGCAAGCAACGCCTGCCGCGGGCCCGCTTCCACAACAGGAAGCGCAGCGCTTCCCCTGAGAGGCGCCGTGCGCGCGGGAGAGCTCGAGGCCACGTGGTCCGACACGGCGATTGAAACTCCCCCCTCCTCCTCCCCCTCCTCCGCCTCCTCCTCCTTCTCTTCCTCCTCCACTCCCTCCTCCTCCCCCTCCCCCTCCTCCTCCTCCTCCTCCTGCTTCAGCTGCTTGGTCTGGAACGGCAGCTCGCCCCTCGCGCGCTGCCTCTCTGGACTTACGTGTGTCGCCCAGGTGCGGTTGCGGTTGCGCGCCCGCGGGCGGTTTGAAATGTGTCGCCCAGTAGCGGTTGCGGTTGCGCGCCCGCGGGCGGGTCGAAATGTGTCGCACAGTTGCGGTTGCGCGCCCGCGGGCGGTTTGACATGCGTTGTTCAAGGTGCCTTCCTGACGTTCAATCAGTCAATCACTCAGTCAATCAGTCAGTCAGTCAGTCAATCACCGGCGGGCACGGAATTTCACCCGGCTCCGCCGGGAAACAAGTCTGGAACAAATTCTAGACAAAACACTTTAAACAAATTTCTGACCGCCTAGCGAATTCAAAAACAATTCTTTAAAATCCTATATGCAAGCACTGGCGTAAATGTTGACATGTTCGCAAGTTTGGGGGTTTAGATGTTTGTTTTTATATAAAAAAGAGTTTGAGATTTTCGCAGGTGTTGGCTGAAGTGTTTTTAAAGTCCGAGATGTTCGCAGGTTCTGGCTTAGGGAATGATTCAAGTTCGAGCTTGTCGCAGGTTTTGGCTTAGAGATGTTTTGAAGTTTTTGGAGAGGTTGAGTTTCCTGCAACAGATTTTCCGAAGAGTGTGGCTGGTTTTCTCGATGGTTTTCCTGTCGTATAATTCGGGCGCGCAAACGCAACCGCATCTGGGCGACACATTTCAAACCCGCCCGCGGGTGCGCAACCGCAACTGCGCGGCGCGTTTCGACGCGCCCGCGGGCGCGCAACCGCAACCGCAACTGTGCGACGCCCTTGGGCGACGCATTCCAACCCGCCCGCGGGCGCGCAACCGCGACTGGGCGACACATTTCAAACCCGCCCGCGGGCAGCTGCGCGGCGCGTTTCGACGCGCCCGCGGGCGCGCAACCGCAACCGCAACTGCGCGACGCATTTCGACCCGCTCGCGGGCGCGCAACTGCAACCGCAACTGGGCGACGCACTTCAACCCGCCCGCGGGTTCGCAACCGCGACTGGGCGACGCATTTCAACCCGCCCGCGGGCGCGCAACTGCAACCGCGCCGCTCACCTGCCGCCCCCCCCCAGGGGATCTCATGCGGAGGGTGGGAGGGAGGTGGGAGGGAGGGGGGGAGGGGGGGGGGGAGGGGGGGCGAAGTAGGGGGGGGGGGGGAGGAGACGGAGGGAGGGTAGAGAGCTCACAATGAACTGGGGGCGGACAACTGGCGCCCCCCCCCCCCCCCCGTTCCTGCGCAAGTGGATGTCCACAAGGCTCCAGGCCCTGGGCCCCTTATCCAAAGCCTCCACGGTCTGCTTGCGGGATGGGTGGGTTAACCGCCCCCGGCGGGGGAGACGAGGCTTTGACAGAAGCGGTCCGTCGCACCGCCTAGTTTGAAGTTGGGGAGGGGGGGCGGGGATCGATTGCGCGTTCACCCTCGCGCAAGCTGCCCACGGATGTAGGTGCATCGGCGCCGTCTTATTCACGCAGCCTGCCGCGTCTTATTCACGATCTGGTGCAGGAGCATGTTGAGGAGGATGGGGGGGGGGGAGGTTAGGGAGGAGGTGAAGGAGGAGGAAGAGGAGGAGGAGCAGCAAGACGAGGACGATAATCACATGGAGAAGGAGGAGCAGCAGGACGAGGAGGAGTAGGAGGACCAGGATGGCATGGCCAGGAGGAGGAGGAGGAGGAGGAGGAGGAGGAGGAGGAGGAGGAGGAGGAGGAGGAGGAGGAGGAAGGAGGAGGAGGAGGAGGAGGACGAGGAGGAGGAGGAGGAGGACGATGGGGAGGGGGATGCCAGGAAGGTGCTGCTTGAGAAGGTGCACGAGCACGTGCTCGTTGCGGATGGCGGACTAGGATGAGGTGGTGGACGTCAAAGAAGATATGGGCGTAGAAATGGATGTCCTCCTCGCGGTTTCCGGGCGTGACCCGCGGTTCTCCGCCGGCACATTGCAGCGGGGAGTCCCCCTTCCACGCTGCTGCCTCTGATTTATATGTTTTAGAATTGCTTAGAGTTCTTTAAGATGTTCATAAAGCGCTTTGAGCTTTAAAGAGTTATTCTGGAATGTTTTCGCGTTGTTAGCCAAGAACAAATATGGCTATGTCTGTTTGGTTTGACATTTCCCTGGGTTTCGGCTTAGAGTTTGTTTGCAGTTTTCAAGAGTTTGAGATTTTCGCTGGGTTCGTATTGCAAGTTTTTTTCGTACAGCTTTTCTAGAAGGAGGCTTTCGCAGGATGTGGCTTAGAATCGTGTCGAAGTTTCTTGGAATCTGAGGGTATCGCAGGTGTTTGCTTCGAGATGTTTTGAAACTGTTTTCCGAGTTTGATATTTTTGCAGGTTTGGGTTTAGAGTCTGCAGTTCTGTTAGAGTTTGAGATTTCCGCAGACTTGGGCTTAGATATGTTCGTGACATATTTTTGGGGTCTGAAATGTCCGAAGGCTTCGGCTTATAATTGTTTAAGTTTTGCTATGGGGTTTCCGCAGAATGTGGTTCAGAGATTGTTTGAAGTTTTTTAGATTTTGAGAGTTCCGCAGGTTTTGGCTTACAGATGTTGTGATTTTTTTTGGAGTTTGAAATTCTTCGCCCGACATCGCGGTGGACCGCCTGTAGTCGCTACTGCCGAACCTAACTCTGGACTCCCCCTGCGGCACCGCTGCCGACTAACCCGTGGCGAGCCGCCCCGTGTCGTCGACCCTCTCGCCATGTCGTGCCCGGTGGAAGCGCCAGGGATGCCCTGGGAGACGGAGGCGGGGAAGAGAACCCCTCATCGCCCCGCGGCCCAGGTCCGGACCTAAACGTTGTTTTTCGTTTTCTTGTTCGTTTTGCTCTGCCTGTTCTCCTGTACCTCCCTGCCCAAACGAAAAACAAAGCACAGCCGAAGTCCAGCTAAACAGCGTTTAGGTCCAGCCCTGCCGCGGCCAGGCGCCGCCCCCCGCCCCCTGGCCCCAGGTCCCCGGCGCCCGGCGAGCGGGCGCGGCACCGTCCCCTCCCAGGGGTCGGCAGAAGCGGCTCCCATGAGCATCCATCAGGCTCTAAGCAGCGCGCAGCTCGAATTGAGGCCCCAGGCCTAAAATTCAGGTGATCGCCTTGATTATAGCGTCCCTGGAAAACCTCTCCCGTTGAGGGGTCCCGGGCAGAACCCATTTAGAAATATTCGGTTTCCCAAACTGTCGCGACGAAGTCCCTTCACGGGCCCTTCAGGATTGCCCTTGAAGGGGCGGGGCGGCGGCCGCTGCGCAAGCCCCGCCCCCCGGGTTGTGGGGGCCGTAAGGTCTAACCGCGCTATCCGGCACTTAGCCCCAAGAGCATATTAGGATGTACTCACACATAGGGTTAAAAGGAAGCGAAAGCACGAGTGAACCTGAGGCGCGAAGGAACATACCATCCATGGCCCCTCTCCGATTCCTCCTCCGCACCCTTCCTCCCCCTCCTCCCTCATCCCCTTCCTGGTGAACGGGTGAGGGGGGGGGCGAGCCGGGGGGCCGCCCAGGCAACGAGGGGTTGCCAGGCCACGGGGGAGGGCGCAGCCGAAGAGGGTAGGGGGCAGCTGCGGGAGAACCCGTGGGGACCTTTTGAGCATTGGTGAGGAGGGCAGGCCCGAAATGAAGCTGGCCTTGGCGAGCGCCAGGGACAGAGAGACAAGCGCCGTCCAACAAAAACTATCCTGGCGAAGGACCCCAACATCTGCAATTGTGAATACCGCAGTTGTGAGCCCCGCCTTCGGTGGAGCTCCCTGTTGGGCAACGAAACGCGTGAGGGGTGTGCCGAAATGGGTGCGGTGGCGCCATGCGAACCCTGCCAGTGGGACCTTCGGTGGAGCTCCCTGTAGGGCCACGAAGCATGTGAGGGGTATGTCGAAATGGGTGCGGTGACGCCATGCGAACCCTGCCGCTGGGGCCTTCGGTGGAGACCCCTGTGGGGCCAAGCTCCCTATGGGGCCACGAACCGTATGAGGGGTGTGCCGAAATGGGCGGGGAACCGCATGCGAACTTTGCCACTGAGGCCGTCGGTGGAGCTCCCTATGGGGCCACGCACCGTGTGAGGGGTTTGCCGAAATGGGCGGGGAGCCGCATGCGACCTTTGCCACTGAGGCCTTCGGCGGAACTCCCAATGCGACCACGAACCGTGTGAAAGGTGTGCCGAAATGGGCGGGGAACCGCATGCGAACTTTGCAACTGGGGCCTTCGGTGAAGCTCCCTATGGGGCCACGAACCGTATCCCGAAATGGGCGGGGAACCGCATGCGAACTTTGCCACTGAGGCCGTCGGTGGGGCTCCCTATGGGGCCACGAACCGTATGAGGGGAAAGCCGAACTGGGCGGGGAACCGTATGCGAACTTTGCCACTGAGGCCTTCGGTGGAGCTCCCTATGGGTGAGGGGTGTGCCGAAACAGAGACGATGCAGGGACGGGAGGAGGAGGGAGGATGAGGAGGAGAAGGAGGATGAGGAGGAAGTAAGGAACGCCGGGCGCTCTCATCAAAACGAGGACCCAACACCATAGGATGGTTGGGAATCAGCCCCCAAAACAAGGCAAGAAAAACACCAACACACAATCAACAACATGCAAACATGCCGGAAAAGAAGGATGCACAGGAAGAGGCCCGCTGATGCGCTTGATTAGCCAAAGCGTGCTGAGCATGCAGTCTGAGGCCCAGACTGTACCTGCTCCGTCTGCGCGACTGACTGCATGTAACTCGCCCACCTGGCTGGCCACTTCCCCCCCACCCTTGAATCCTTGGCTGTGGGAGAAAACTGTCATTGATTGAGACTTGCGTCTGCTCTGCTGCTGGCCCAAGACAAAGTTCCGTTCATGAGACAATTCCATGAGCTCGCAGTGGCTAAGAAAGAAACGCGAAGGAGCTGTCATGAGTAGTTCCACTCTTAGAATACACCGCCCAACTGCGGTGGCTATCGGAAAAAAATCGCCTGCTCCCGTGTGACGACTCGGAGAAATTGGAGGGGAAAGAGGAGGAACCGCAGGAAGAGGAAACGGGCAGGCACAAGCGCAACAAGCCCGAGGGGAAGGTCCCCCCTACACACATACATACATACACTCACACAGACACATCGACGTCTGGCCGCGAAGCGTGCAACATATGGATGACTTATCCGCGTCCTCCTCCACCTCCACCTCCTGATGCTACCCACTTCTGCGCCACGCACCAAGGCAAACGTCAAACACTACCGCAACAAGGAGCACACTAAAACAAACAAGCAAGCCTGCTTCGTGCGTCTGGAAACAATACGAATCGTGTATCGCCAACCGACTGGCTCAGCCAAAACCAACTGGTAAACCAACAATTACCCCAGAGCACGCTTCCGAACAAAAAACTTTACAGATGGAGCCCTCTATCATGCGACTCTAACTCATGATCGCCCGCTGCTGCTAGATAAATTCGCACGACCAGGGTCTTACCGACACTATCTCGAAAATGTGTGCGCTCACATCGTCGTGGCTGAGGAGGTACCGAGCTCGAAAGCAGGGAGCCCACTTTCCCTGACCTGACTACAGACAGCGTCATGGCGACCCATCGGAGCCACAACTGCTATGGACGTAGCGAGCCCAAGGGGCCGCAAAATCCACCAGCCCCTTCGGCGTATGTGGCTCACCAGATTAGTAAATAGCTCTTCCAGAACATCCCGGGGGTCTGGATCATGAGTGTAAGCGGAAGGTGGAGTCTCTGTAAAGCCCCAGGATGGATTCAGAATGCCCCCAGATAGCTCAAGATGGCCTTCACACTAGGCCCAAATAAACGCAGTGGCCCAAGTCGGCCAGTGACGGCCACCACCATGGCTGGAGACTTAAACTGAAATACCCACATGGCACTGCGATCTGATCACACACAAGAAAATCCTTAGTCCTCAGATGACGGCAGCCGCGAGCACCGAGCACCGCCGAACGTCCCACCAACAAAATCGAATTCGAACCCCTCGTTCCTTCGGAGAGGGGTACCCTCCGCCTCCCACTCCCTGGGTCTGTCGGGGGTGTCCGCGATGTGTCAGAGGGTCTTGCTTCGCTCAAGATGGCTCCCACAGGGCCTCCGATGCTCCAAGATTGCCTCTAAGATGGCTCAGGATAGCCGAAGATGGCTTTATGTTGCTTCCAACATGCCTCCAACAGGCCCCAAGAGGGCCACAAAACGGTTCCCAAATGGTGTCGGAACTCCCCCAGAATCCTTCAAGCGGCCAACATCCATCAATGATCTAAAGAACCTAGATGATGTATGTCTTCCCGCCTTTCGCATCCAATAAGCTTCTGATACCTCAAGATGGCCCCAAGATAACCCAAGAGAGCCGCAAGACGGGCCTCAGAGGCCCACCCAGACGGCACCAAGAGCGCCCCAAGAAGCGATGCTGAGGGCTCCAGAGGGGGGAGGCGAATTTAGGACCCCCCCGCCGTTGACCGATAGTATCCAAGATTGCCTCAAGAGGTCACCCTTCCAAGAGGGCCACAAGATGGCCCCAAGACAGCCCCGAGACGGCCCTAAGGATGCTCCAAGAGCGTCCCACGAGGGCTCCAACAGGCGATTTGCATCCTTCTCCTCCTCCTCCTCCTCCTCCTTCATGTCCTCCTCCTTGTCCTCCTTGTCCTCCTTGTCCTCCTTGTCCTCCTTGTCCTCCTCCTCCTCCTCCTCCTCCTCCCCTCGCCCCCCCGTAAGCCCCAGGGATCGCCTGAAGAGGCCCTCCAAGGCCCCCCCCTTGCTTCCAGAGATCTGTTCATCCTGGTTGCCCGGTCAGTTTCACTATATGCGTCTCTTCAACCATTTTCCAATCAGCTCTCATGGGCAGAATCCCACCAGCCCGCTGGGCGTAGGTGGTTTAGGGAATTTCCTCTTCCATCTTCCCTTCTTCCCCTTCGGGGAGGGGTTTACCCCTCCCCCTGACCCCCTCCCCTGGACCTGGACGGGGGGTTTCGCTGGTAGTTGGAGCGTCCAAAACGGCCTCGGCGAGGAAGCCAAAATCATCGGTGTTACTAGGGCTTTGGCCGATTTTAGAGGCTCCCGAGGGGGGACGCTAATTGGGGGACCCCGTTCCTTTGATCGATCACCTCCAAAATGGCCCCAAGAGCGCTCCCAAGGCTCCCAATAGCGCCCCAAGAGGGCCTCACGATGCGCCCAGGAGGCCCCAAGAGGCCCCCAAGAAGCCCTGAAGAGGCTCCCTAGACCCCCAAGAGGCCTCAAGAGGATCCCCGAGGCATCCAAGACTCCCCCAGGCGCTCCAAGAGGATTCCAAAACAACTTCCAAAGGGACATCCTAGGAGGCTCTTGTGCACGTCATTGTTCTTGTTCCTTCTCATATTTATCCTCCTCCTCCTCCTCCTCCTCCTCCTCCTCCTCCTCCTCTCCTCCTCCTCCTCCTCCTCCTCCTCCTTGTCGGCCTACTCCTCCTCCTTCTCCTCCACTTTATCAGCCTCCTCCTCCTCCTCCTCCTCTCCTCCTCCTCCTTTCCTCTTCTCTTCCCCCCCCCCTCCTCCCTCCTCCTCTCGTCCGCCCCCTCCCTCCTCATCTCCTCCTTTCCCTCCTCCTCCCACTTTTCCCACCTGCTGCCCCTCCTCCCCCTCCTCCTCCTCCTCCTCCTCCTCCGACTCCTCCTCCATCCTCGCCCTCTCGGGTAAGACGGGTCCCCCAGCCCTTCGCTACTCTGTATGCCCCCTCACGTCCCTGATCACCGCAATTTGTTTACGACGACATGGGAGCTGTTACGGACTAAACTAGTTCCACAGGTGGGGTGTCCACGTGTGGCGGGTGCGACCGCAACACCAGCACCTAAGGCCCTGAATGGTACCGCCGTACCCGCTAGAAGACTGAATACATTCCTTGCTCGTCGCTGCAGTGTCGTGTCGAGCTGCCTCTTGCCTGCTATGCGTGGCCTGACGCTTCAACGGTGCAGCTCGCTGTATGCGGGCTGGCATGCGCTGTGCGTTGGAAAACCCTGAAGGGCGGCTCTAGGATGGCCTCACATTGGCCAAAGCTGAAGACTTACAGACAAACAAAAATCCTGCCATGGCGGGGAACGAGAGATGGGGGGAGGGGAATGCTCCTCATCACCTACTCCTCGGGGAAAGCAGGAAAGAAGAGGGAGTGAATAGGCGTCTAGCTACGGCTCTGGACGAGGGGGGCCTTAGTGGGGACCTCTTAGGGCACATCAGGAGAATAAAAATTCAGCAGCCTCCTCGTCAGCGGCCAGATCATGGGTCTGAACCTCGGGATCTGCATTATCTGAGGGGAGGTCACTAGTGTGATGTGCGGGGTCCGTCTCAGGAGCTACTGAGGGCCTCGCTGCAGGGAGTACGCCGCCAGATACGAAACGTATCATCCTGTCATTCGTCGAAAATGGTCCAAGCATGTCGATATCTCCTCCTCCAGCCAGCCCGCTGGGGCTGGGCCCAGGTGGTGCTTCGCGATCCCCTCTGAGCGTAGGCCAGCGAGGAGGAGGCTTCTGCCCTGCCAGTCCTTGGCGCCAAGGATGAGCTTGGCTGTGTTCGGGTCGTGAGTCTTGTCGATGCGCAGGAAGGCGACTTCGTTCTGAAGGGTCCCTACGTCGATCAGAGGCTCGAGCTGAGGATCTTCTGGCTGGCAGTTCTCGAGGTATTCCTCGATCTCTGTGCGTACTCGGCCTCCCACTTCGCATGTCAATAGCCCCTCCAGCATTGCGAGGGCGAGTGCGGGGGTCGGTGGGCCTAGAATTTTGAGCGCCTCGGTGTCCTTGTTGGTGCGGTAGTTGTTGACCCGTGTCTTGAAGCCCTCGAGCTCCGTCGAGATGTGGGAGACTGTCGGGTGGTTGATTGGTAGCGTCCATGTGTCGGCCACCGTGCGCATGATCATCCGTATTTTTGTGTGTTCTGGAGTGTGAGTGTCATCAGCGAGGTGAGCAGCATCTGCATGTTCTTGTCTTTGTTCGTCCACTGCTTGTCGGTGTGCTGCCCTCGGTGAGCTCGTCGTCCGCCTCTGCGTCGAGCACGGCGTGGCTCGTTCTGTTGCTCTTCCACGTCCATGTCGTCGTCCTCCTGGTCCGCTGCTGGTGTCGGTTGGCCCTTGTTGCCCTTGGTCCCCTCGACCTTGCGTCGGCGCTGGGGTGGTTCGTCGGCTTTGGAGTCGTTCCCAGAAGTGCCAGACTTGGTCGAGGACGGTGGCGGGCCTCTCCACGGGGCACGTGCTCCGCGTCGCGGTGCTGCTTTGGGCTGGGCTATGCTCGGCGCCGCTGCTTGTGGCGTGCTGCTGTCCGCTGCTGAGGCCATCAGGTGGAGCTGGTGTGGGGTGGCTGGCTGGTTCTGCTGGTCGTGGAGGTCGCGGTAGTGTTGGCGTGGACGTCAAGGCTGTAGTGGTCGCACTGCTGGTGTCGTGCGTGGGTGGTGGTCGTCGATGTTGCGGCCGTCGAGCTCGTGTTGTAGTTGCTGCTATGGCTGAGGCCCGAATATGTGTGCCCAGCTGAAGCGTCACTGCCTGTCGAATCTCTTGTCGGAGCAGGGCGGTGTCAGATGGTCGCCACAATGGGGCGGCGAGGAAACGCTTAGGCACTGTCGGTCCGTGCGGGCGCGCCCCCCTCGCCGAGCGAGGCAATGTGTTGAGCCAAGGGCCACGCGGCGACGGAGGGATGTGCGTGCGAAGGTGGGATCGGAGCTCGTCGATGTCGCAATAGTCTCGCTGACAATCGATGTTGGGGCTAATGTGCTCGAGCGGGCATCGCGTGGCAGTGGCAGGC